TTTTTGCATGTAGGTATCCAGTTATACATTAAAAAGAATAAAAAGGACACCATTTCTCAAAAGACTATTCTTTCCCACTAAATGGCTTTGCCACCTTTTTGTAAATGAACTGTCAAGGTGAGGATTTTATTTCCAGACTCGTGATCTATTCCATTGATCTATGTGTCTATACTCATGCCAATACCATGTGGTCTTGATTATTGTAGCTTTGTATTAAAGTTTCACATTGTAAAGTATAAGTCTTCCAACTTTACTATTTATTTTATTTTTCAATCATTTTTCTACATTTGGTCCCAAGCATTTCCTCGTGAATTTTAAGTCATCTTGTTGGCATTTGCAATAAAGGCAGCTTGAATTTTTATAGGAATTTGTTGAACCTGTAAATTGATTAAAACAGTATGGCATCTAAACAAAAATAATTCAAACCTATGAACATACATTTCTTCCTATTTACATTTTTAAGCTTTATCAAAGCTTTGACACACACAAAATGGCACACATTTAGAGTATATATACTGAGTTTGGACGTATGTATACCTTGAGATACCATCACCATAACCAAAATATTATACATATCACCTCCAAATATTTCCTTGTGCTGTTTTCAATAAAAACATTTAGCATGAGAGCTACCCACTCAAAAATTGTGAGTGTAGGGACTGGGGATTTAGCTTAGTGGTTCCGCCACCTGTCTCCCAAGTGGAAGGTCTAGAGTTCAATCCCCAATACCCCCAAAAAAATTATGAGTGTATAATGCAATACTGCAAGATATACATATAATATGGTACAGCTGATGTCTAGTACTTGTCTTACTTAGCTGAAACTTTATACTTGATGAAGAACAACTCCCCACTTCCTTCTCCTCCCAGCATCTGGCAACCACCATTTTGCTCTATTAATTCTATGAATTTGACTCTTTTAGATCCTTCATAAATGCCCTCTAGGTTCATTCACACTATTGCAAATAGGGGGATTTTTTTTCCTTTATTAAAGCTGAAAACATTCCATTTTCTCTATTCCATTCATCTGTTAGTCACTAGGTTGTTGTCAGATCTTGGCTATTGTGACTAACGCTGCAGTGAACATTAGTTTGCAGGTTATCTCTGACATACTGATTTCAGGTACTTTTGATATATACCAGGTAGTGGGATTTCTGGATCATATGGTAATTTTGTTTTAAATTTTTTAAAGAACCAGTCCACATTGTTTCCCCTAATGGCTGTACCAGTTTACATACATGCTAACAGTAGACAAGTGTTCCTTCTCTACACATCCTTGCCTGCACTTGTTAGTTTTCATCTTTGAGAATGGCCTTTCTAACAAGTGAGAGATACTGCATGATAGCTTTGATCTGCATATTCCTGATTAGTAAAGTCTGGCACCTTTTCATATATACGGTAACCATTTATATGTTTTCTTTGGAGAAATATCTTATTCAAGCAAGTCTTTTGTCTATTTTTAAATTGTTTTGTTGGGGGGGTTGGGTTTTTTGTTTGGGTGTTTTGAGTTGTAGGAGATGCGTACATTCTTTACTGTTAGTATTCAGCCTTAAGAATGAAATCCTACCATCACAAAAAAATCTCAATACTGTTTCTGCAGTAAAAAGCAACCCTGAAAATCATACAGAATAACAAGAAATCCCAAATAGCTAATCTGGAAAAAGAATAAAGTTGCAGAATGCTATATTTTGCATCTGGAATGCTCCCAGACAGCCCCTGCATTAAGAGGCTTGGTCCTCAGCTTGGCCCCATTGGAAGGTGGTAAAAACATTTAGGGGTAGGGCCTAGTGGGAGGTTACTGGGAGTTTGCCAGTAACACCAGTCTCCTCTTTTTCATTCCTGGCCGTATGGTGAATGGGATTCCTCTCATGCTCTCCCACCACGATGTGCTGCCTCACCAGACCCAAAAGCCATGGGCCAACTGTGGAATGAAACCTCCAAATCTGTGAGCCAGAATAAACTACAACAACTGAGTCACTCTGTAGGTGGACTCATGGGACAAAAGTGTCAAGGGCGAGGCTGCTGGCAGCACACATGAATGGTGTGTAGCACTTGTCAAAGAGAAACAGGGAAGGGAAGTGACCAGGTAGTGGACACTCTTCACATCCACTTGAGAACCCATGTGTAATGCAAAGAGAAAAAAGGGCTCAGTAGGTAAGGACTCCATGGGCTATGAAAGCATCCATGGTTAGTAGTGAGTGAGACCTGGTTCCTGTGGTGACTGCCTGTGGCTCAGCATGACTGCTGATACTTGAGGGCAACAAAACAAGCCTTTCCACTGACCAGAAGTACTGGCCCAAACAGGTCTGTATTTGGAGAGCATCAAGGCCTTGCAACTAGAAAAACCCACAGCGTTATTTTCATTTTTGAGACATGTTTATAAAGTAGGAAAGACTCGAGGAATTAGATTTGGGACAAAGACGGATGGTTGGCTAAAGACCGGCACAGGACCCTGTCAGACTCTCCCTAGAGAAGCTTCACACAGTTGGGAAGCCCATAATGGATTCCAAGAGTAGTGACTGAGTCCTGAGCAAGGAAGACAACATGGGAAGTCATTAACAGAGACTTCAACCGTTGTGAAATATGGCAACTGGCAGGACTTGGAATCTAGGGAGCACAATCATCACACTGATATCAAGCAAAGCCAACCTTAAATGGAATCTTTCTATAAGATTCCATTTTAGATAGGTAGTAGATGGACAGGTATAGATAATTTGAAGTGAAAAGATGAAAGTATGCAAAAGCTAATTCAAAGAAAAGCTATATTAAAACAAGGTGTGGTAGTTGGCTGTCTTACTGAAACAGATACCTGAGATAATACACCTAGAAAAAAATACACTTAGAAAACATGTTGGGCTCACAGTTTGAGAGATTTCGGTCCATACCAATTGGCTACATTGGGCCTGTGATGAAGCAGCACATTGTAATGAAAGCGTGTAGCAAAGCAAAGCCACTCACTTTATGGTCAGGAAGCAAAAAAGAAAGAGGAAAGGGTTGGGGTCCCACTGTCCCCTTCATGAGCTTTGCCCCAGTGACTGACAACCTGCCACAAGGCCCCACCTCTTAGAGGCTCCATCTCCTCCAACTAGTGCTACAGGCCAATACCAAGCTGTGGCCTGTGGGGACATGTGCCTTTGGGGAACATTTAAGAACCAAATAATAGTATAATATGAAGTAGATTTCAGAAAAATATTACAGTAATTTAATGACAAAGAGGTTAATTCATCAAGACAACAGCAGTAGCCATCTATGAGATGTGTCACTCATGTGTGATACCTCTGCTGCTAGCTTCTTGGAGGCAGAAATCCAAAAAAACCATCGTATTCTCTGAAAAACATCTCCAACAGTCACACTATTCAAAAGACCCTGGAAATAATGAATCAGGAAAAAAACTATTGGTGGGAGAACCTATAAATGAAAACAAATTTATATCTATGACGTAAGGTAAAGAAGAAACCAAGAAAGGGGATGAAGACACCAGTTTGCATCAAGAGATGCAGCAGCAGACATTCAACCACATTTGTCCAGTTTTCTCATGAGATTTTCCTTTTACTTCTTGGAATGCTCTGTGTTGACAACTCACATCATTTTAGCCCCTATAGTTCCTCTTCTATTGGTTCTTGTTTCCCTCAGCTTTGACTTCTTGCCCTCTTTATATCTGGTTATCTCTGAGTACTGTATATTCCAAAAGATAAATATTAGAAATAGATTGATGTCGAAGAAGTTATTATCCCATAGAGAGATTTCGTTAGCTCCAGCTGATGACTGTGGGTGACTGACAGTCTGATTTCTGAACCTGGGAGGTCTTGTCTATTTCTAGCTCAACCTATGGTATGTGGTGCATGGTCTCAAAGGAAGAGTGCAAGTCACGGACAATGTTCCATACAGGTAGGTATTGGATTCTGCTTTTTCTCAACATGGACCAATAAATCTAACTAAATCCAAGTTCTCAGCCACTTAATTGCCTCCTGTGGCAGTACCAAATACCAAGGTCACTTTCTGGGTTTCCTTCTGCTGGATATTGGTACAGTTTTCTTCTTGGTTTTGACATCTATGATACTTGTCAATATTCTTTTCTAATATTTTGTCCAGCTTTTTGAGCTGTACCCAGTGGGAGAACTGACATACAATCATCCCTTGGTGTTTGGAGGAATTGGTTCCAGGACCTCTGAAAACATAAAATCTGCAGGTGCTCAAATCTGCTATACAAAGCACTGTACTTGTAAATAACCTAGACAATCTTCTCATATATTTTAATCATCTCCATATTACAAATACCTAATACAACAAAAATAATTGTTATACTAGATTGCTTCGGAAATAATGACAAGAAAAGTCTGTATATATTCAGTATACAATTTTTTCCAAATACTTTCAATCTGGGGTTGGTTGAACCATGGATGCTGAATCCCCTGACCTGGGGAGCCCAGTGTATATTATTTACTATTGCCACAGTCAGAAAGTCTATTTCCTTACATTATTTGTATTACTACACAGGCCAACACATTCCTGCCTTTAAGTCACACTCCCCAACACTTGCTCCGCAATGGGAAACTGAGGCACTGTGGTACAAATACTTGGAAATATTAAATACTCAAAGTTCCTTCACCTAATCTGTAAAACACTAATAGGCTAATGAGATAGTTCCCTGGTCTGAGCAATATTTCCATTTTTCTTACAAAAGCAACAATTTTCTCTAATCAGTAGATTAAGAAGGCTAAGAAAGAGTAGGGCATAGTGGCACACGTCTGTAGCCAGTACTCCAGGAGAGTGAGGCAGGAAGATCATAAATTTAAGCTTAGCCTGGACAATCCAGTGACTCCACAAGATCTGATCTCTAAAAAAGGGGTGGGGGAGGCCGGGGATTTAGCTCAGTGGTGCCGCCACCTGCCTCACAAGGGCAAGGTCCTGAGTTCGATCCCCGGTACCAAAAAAATTTTTAAAAATAAAAAGGGTGTGGGGGGAGGGAGGGTATGTGGCTCAGGGTAAAGGTCCTGGGTTCAATTTCTATTACCGATAAACACAAGAAGAAAGCTAAGAAAAGCACACTACAGATAGTAAGACTCAAATCTATGATTTTAACATGAGTATTTTATTGAATTACATCATTTAACAGTACTAGGAATAAGTGATATTTGTACATACTGCACTTAGAGAAAACACTCACTACATTTTAATAACTTTCCATTTTTTCCTCCCAAAGTACTTGCTCAGATTTCTAGAAAGTAATATCCTAAATCAAATTCTAACCTCAGAAAAGAACATGTTGCTAGGGCACATCTTTAATCATGGGCCACCTCTTCCATTACATTTACCACTCTTGGTAGTACTGCTCAGTGCAATTTTACCTGGATTATATTTTCTTAAATGATTTAATTTTATTTTTTATAAAACAAGTTCAAGTTGTAAATGTAAATTCATCAACATAGAATCAAAGCAAACATACTGTTCTCAAATATACTCTTTCTAGTATCTTTGAAGCTAGTCCTTCCCCCTCCCAAAATAACACTCTCCTTAGGACTCCAGGAAAACAAAGTTCTCATAATACACTGTTTGGAGTCTATTTAAAGATAGTTTTAAGGGGAGAGAAAAATGTATCTGCTTTCTGGAAAAGCAGATGGCTTCATCTAAAACATCTACTTAAGATTCTTCTGATCGTATTGCAGTTAACAATATCACACTTGAAACAGAAGCAGAAAGACTAAGGAGTTCTTAATTTCCTGTCTTTGTGGAAAAAGAGGAAAAATGTTTCCACATTCCTAAATTGCCAATTTTTAAATCACCAGGCTAACCCTAGGATGACTAATCCTTTCAATGATCAGAGTGACACTGCTTGTAATGCAAAGTGTCCTGGCACATTTAGTTATAAAATCTTTTTAACATTTGAAAAGTAAATTGGAGGGCCAGGGATTTAGCTCAGTGGTTCAAGCACAAGGTCCCAGAGTTCAATCCCCAGTACCAAAAAAAAAAGGTAACTTGGAAGACACAAAATCTTTATTGTCTGTTCTCTCCCTACCCCCACCCTTCAGAAAGTCAATCTTGTGTAAAGTCAGTGAGTAGTACTGAAAGTAGACCACATCACTGAATCCAACTGTAGTGAGTCCACTCCAGTTTTTCTCAACACAGACCCAAAACTCTGAACAAATACAACTTCTCAGTCACACTCAATTGCCTCATGTGGCATTTGTGACATAAAAAGCAGCCGCAAGTACCATTTTGGAGTTTCCTGCTAAATATTAGCACAATTTTCTTTTCTGCTTTGCCATCTCTTTGATACTATTCAACATTCCCCTATTTCCAATCAAAATTACAATCTAGCTGCCAATCTAGGAAAATATTTCAGATGTCCAGCTTCAAAAGGAAAAAATAATAAATGTACCACTTGTGGTTTTCTGCATCATATCAGGTCTTTCTCTGTAGCTCAAAGGTAATAGAGACAGTTTGATAGTGAGTTATGCGGCTCTTGTTGAATATTTTGCCCCACGAAGTAAGCAAGTTTATGGGCATAATGGCAAGGAGCAGGAACTCGAATGGTGCCCTTTTATAAGAAGAAAAATAGAAGTTTATTTTTTAACTTTATATCACCTTATACTTGCCCTTCCATCTACTTTTTCTAAGTTTAGTTTCATAGATTTCAATTCAGAAGTTCAAATTTTGCTCAGTTTTGAACAATACCTTTTATAGATTGGAAGAAAAAAATCAATGAGACAATACTTACTGGGAAGTTATAGTACATGTGGCATAGTTTGTAAGTTAAACGCTGTACTGTATCTGGGTCCAAGCAAATTGTGTCGTAGATAACATTATAATGAGTGGGAGTAACAGTACCATGCTTGGAGGACTGACTCACAATATAAAAGTCATACCTGAAATTATACAACAGGTGGGTATTAGTTTATTTTAGAAGAAATGTGATAATCTCTAGTACTGGAAGCAAAAACATTTAATATATTGTTACAGAAATCTGTTCCACAGACAAAGTTTCCTTTAAATTTAGAAGCTTGTCTAATTGGCAAACAATGATCTAACAAAGCAAATCCATAAAAGACAGCTAAGTCATTGACATAGGTAAAAACTCTCCTGTGATTCAGACTTAAAATAAAGGTGCTTATGCCAAGAGGAAGAGATAAAATTGGCCCATTTCATTTGGTCATATTTCATAGAAATATGGTCTCTGCATTTTACAGTGATTGTATGCAAAGACAAAGGCTTCCTACTTCTCCCTAAGCATCACCACAGTACATTTAAACACTCCAAATGATTTAGGAAATTGGTAAGGTTCGTCTCAATATTTACTGTAAATACTGAATTATTATTTGCACTGTCTTATGGTTTATGCTTATCATACTTTTCATTTGCTTTTTCTTTAGTCCCTTCCTGCCAGTGCTTCTGCTTTTAATTTTAATTCATTTCCCACCATCTGTTCCTGTAAATGTCATGTTTGACTTCCTATAACTCTTTTACCTATTGACTTATGTGTAAAGTTAATTAGAAGCTCTATCATTTTACTAATCTTAAATGCTTTAACTCCATAATGCCTTCCCTATGTAAATATTATTTATAGCCAGTATTGTAGGGCTACTTTAATATACTCTTTCTTATTATAGCCAGTATTCTAGATCCACCTTGCTTTAATGTGCCCTATTAAGTAACCATCTAAAAAGTCAAGGCTTTTTTATACTTCCAGCATCACTGTTCAACACTGCTTTTTTTTAATCTCATTCCTTTTTGTTCAATTTCCTTCTTCCTAAAATACAACCTTTAAATTGTAGTGTTTTCAGTGAGAGTCTGGTGGATTAGTGTATATACAATATATGGTTATCTGAGCATTTGGTATTTCACAGGCACCCTTGATGATAGCTTAGCTAGGTATCAAATTCCAGTTTGATAATTACTTTTTGGCAGTTTAAAGATATTATTTCACTGTATTCTGGTTCCCACTCTTGAGTACTTTTTTATTGCTTAAAAAAATATTATTCCTCTGACAGCTTTTAAAAAACCTTGTGCCTCACCCAATGATAAATGTAAATGTATTGCTTACCTAAAATGTACCAATAAAAGAATTTAAGGAAAAAAAAATCTTGTGCCTGCTTCCCTGAAGTTTCATTAGAATGATCCTAAGTGTAGACTTATATTTATTGATCCTGTTTAAATCCCATGATTCCTGAATCTGAGCTCAGAATCTCAATTTAAATATTGTTCCCCCTTCTCATAAAATATTGTATTATCTCCTACAGAAATTTCTATTAATATATAGCAAATCTTATTTTACCTTATATTTTTCTTTTTTTTTTCATCTCTCACCTATCTTTATTGTACTCCAGTGCATCATGGGAATTTTTGAATGTATTTTCCAGTTAACTATTTTTTTTCTATTGTGTCTAATCTGTTATTTAAGCCTTCCTCTGAGGTTTTTTTTTTTTTCATTTTCACTATGTTTCATTATTAGATACTGATGGCTGGGGATTTAGCTCAGTGGCCCGGTGCCTGCCTCACAAGTGATAGGTCCTGAGTTTGATTCCCGGTACCAGGAAGGAAAAAAAAAGAGAGAGAGAGGAACCATTATTAGATACCCAAATCTGATTGATCTTTTAATTCAAATTTCTTAGGGCTTTTTGTTTTGTTTGTGGTGTTGGAGGATGAACTCAGGGCCTTTACACAAAGTTATGTCCCAGCCTTCTTTCTATTTCCTAGGCAGGGTCTCACTAAGTTACTAAATTGCACAGACCAGGCTCAAACTTGCAATCCTCCATCCTTTCAGAGTACTCAGTTATTTTTCTAATGGCTTTCCTTCCATTTTTTATCCTCTTGGTCTCTATATGTATTTTAATATAGAATGTCAGCAACTATTTCATTATCTGAAAGTTTATGAATCTAATCCCTTTAGCATTTTGTCTGCTGATTGTGACTCATGGTAGATTGCTTCCTCAAAAAAAAAAATTCCTAAATCACTGCTCTGAATTATTACATTATGTCCATATATAATAATGCAATATATAACTAAACTCTATTTTGTAGATTATTCAATACTAATATTACTTTGGTAACATTCACTTGTTCAGGTTCTAAGAGGATAAATGTTGTAAGAAAAACTTTTTGTTGCCTTTAAAGGTAGTAAACATCTTTAAAAATATAAAATTGTCTCAGGCTATTACATAACCTATTTTTGTGGGGCTGTGATGGAACCCAGAGCCTTTGCACTCAGCTATATCTCCAGCCCTTATAAAAAAAAATTTTTGACACAGGTTCTCACTAAATCATTAAGTTGCCCTGGTTGGGCTCAAACTTGTAGTCCTCCTGCCTCAGCCTCCCACAGTACCAGGATTACAGGCAGGTACCACCACACCTGGCAAACATTTTAATAGGACATATTCCATATTATTTGATTTGTAATGACTCCAAACTGTTAATGTAAAGGTAACTTTCTACTTCCACATTCATAAAGATGTTTGGGGATCACACTATTAACCTTCACTTGGTCACAGAGACAAATTTAACAAAGAAACTTAACCACAAGGCTAATCACAATTTCTAAATCCAAATGAAGAATCCCTGGCCAAGATTTTCTGAAAAGAATCAAATTAATTGTCAAGAATCAGAAAATGCTTTTAAGATGAAGATATTGGGATTAAGTGATTTTGATGAAGTAATAAAGAAAGGTATAGATGCAGATAATAAAAATAAAAGTCGTTTACCATTCCTCCCTGGTTAATGCCACATCAATAACAGTTCCTGAAGGTGGATTTTGAAGTCTTCCTTGAGACTGAACAAAAAATCTGGTGTTTATTCGTTTCTTCACCACAATGAAAGTTAGCTTGACTCTTTAAAAATTAGAGTAAATGTCACTATGTTTACTCAGTCTCATCTCACAAACATTCAAGGTGTTAGGACACCATACTTTTAGGACTTATGAAAAATCCTGTAGACAGCAGCCCTCCACTTACCCCAGTTCAGTGCTAGCCCCACATTCCTAATGAAAGCAGCAAATGAGGAAGTGTCTGCTCATAGCCAACCACAACCTAATGGAAGAGTCTTCCTCACAACCTGTGTTCATGGACATCTATGAATCACTGAGGCTAAGGAGCCCTGCTGCACAGAGACTTGAAAGGAAATGAGAAGATGTAGAAAATCCACTGAGGGTACCTGGGGAAAACAATCTGCTACTGCCATGTTCATTCTGCTTTGAACTCTGACTTGAAGCACTGTCTTTTACCCACCACCCACTGAGGCCCACTGTCTGCACTATGCTCCTCCTCTCATCGCTCACTATATTGGTCCCCTGCTCCAAACAGATTTTTCCCATAGACTAAAACACACAGCTTACAAACTCTGTGCTTTATAATTTCTCTACTTACTGATGCTTTCTTAAGTGGCTCACAAGCTGTGGTATTTCATGGTCAAGCAAGGCCTGAAGCTGACCATCTCCTACGCCATCCCGATATACCACAACAGAATCTGGCTGCTGTTGTACATTTCTAAACCAGGAATCTAAGGCAGCTGGAAGGAAACCAAAAACACACGTAAATAAAGTGCAACTTGGAACAAACTGGCATGTATTATTTTTGACAACGTCTAGGCTCATCTTTTAGAGCTATAGCTCTCACGACAGTTTCTCTACCTACAGCCTCAGTCTAGCCCAGAATTTCTCAACAACAGCACTACGGAAATCTTGAGACAGGTGATGCTTTCTGGTGGTGGTAATGGTGGTACTGTATGCACAGTAGGATAGTGAGCAGTATCTCTGCCCTCTACCCACTGGACTAAATGCCAGCTATATTGCCATCCCAGGTGCAGCAACAAAAAATATTTTCAGCCATGACTAGATGGTCTCTGAGGGCAGTATGTCCACTTTAAGAGAACTACTACCATACGTACAGTTGGGTATTCCAACCTCCTCAAGACACTGACCTTCCAAACAGCTACTCAACCCATCCACAAGCTCCTGTCCAGGTTCCTGGAAGACACATTGGGAGTACCATCTGTTCCAGAGAAATAAATCAGTTAGAATCTTAAAATATCATCATTTGAATTCTGAATTAATCTATTACCAAGAAGAAACATCACTATCAGTATCCAATTAAGGATCAATTCTTATGCACCCCTACAGAGATCAAAAGTATTGGTCTCTTCTGATATCTTTCGCATTTTATAAGATTTTTCAAAAGTACAGAAAGCAAATGGAAGCACTTACTAACATTACTACAAATTATTCATGTTTTTAATATGCATGACTACTGTAGTCCCACCCACTGAGGAACGTGGTCAAATGAAAATTCAGTGTTCCTGGACATCCCTGATTTGGGATCAACGTCTTGAGCAATGGTTCATTCATACTAATCTTTGGAGGAAGCAGCTTTCTTTGTAACCATGACAGCTACTATGACCATTTTGACACATCCAGTAAAATCATATGTTGTCATAAGTTTCTATCTCCTTACTAGGTGTTTTCCCTCATAGTAAGCTCATCTGGCCACTTGACACAATGGGATGTCTTGTTTTTGTTTTTGTCTGCTTCTTTATCAAGATTTAAGCTCCAAGAAATACAATCAAGATTTTGGCTCTGCATTTTCATTGCTGAATTCCCAGCACTTGGACATGGAAATTTTGGCTCAAAAATATCTGCTCAATGAATGATAATTTCTCCCTAAGAATGCCAATATTATTTTCTAGTTCCAAAAAGCAAATCAGAGAAAATAATGTTACTATATTGAATCAGAATGACTTAGAAAAAGATGGCATCCATTGAAATAAAGATGGACCTTCCTTAAAGAAAACTCTGCCAAAATCAAGAATGAGGAAAGGGTGCCCACTCTCACCACTCCTATTCAATAGCTAAAGCTAAAACTAGGCAACAGGGTGAAATAAAAGAGATACAAATAGGAAGGGAAAAAATCAAACTATCTTTGTTTGTGGATGATACGATCCTACACATAGAAGACCCTAAAAACTCCACCAAAAGACCTTTAGAGCTGATAAATTCAGTAACAGGATATAAAAATCAGCATCAAAACAATAGTTTTTCTCTACACAAATAACAGACTAGCTGAAAAAAAAATCAAGAAAACAATTCATTACATTTTTTAAAATACCTAGCAACCAATGTAACCAAAAAGGTGAAAGACCTCTACAATGAAAATTTCAGAACACTGAAGAAAGAAACTGAAGAAGACACCAGAAGATGGAAAAAACTCCCCAAGGTCATAGATTGGCAGAATTATTATTAAAATGGCCATATTACTAAAAGCCATCTACAGATTCAATACAGTCATCAAAATATCAAAGACATTTTTCATAGAACTAGAAAAACGATCCTAAAATCCATATAGAAACACAAAAACCAAAACACTTGTAAGCTAAAAAAGCAAGGCTTCAGGCATTATAATATCCAGTTTCAAACTATACAACAAAGCCATAGTAACAAAAACAGCATGACACAAGCATAAAACAGACACAGACCATGGAACAGAATTGAGAACATAGAAATAAACCTATGCAACTACAGCCATCTGATTCTGAATGAAGGAGCCAAAAATATACATTAAGAAAAGAGCCTCTTTAATAAATGGTACTTGGAAAACTGGATATCCATTTACGAAAGACTGAAATTAGACCCCTATCTCTCATTCTGTACAAAAATCAATTCCAAATGGATCAAAGACCTAAGTATAAGACCTGAAAGTTTGAAGGTGCTAAAAGAAAACTTAAGGGAAATACTAAGCCACAGACATAGGCAAAGACTTCCTCAATAGAACTGCAATAGGATAGAAAGTAGCAAGAATCAAAAAATAAGAAAGCATCAAATTAAGTCTCTGCACAGCAAGAGAAACAAGTGATAGAGTGAAGAGACAGCCTCGAGAATGGGAGAAAACCTTTGCCAGCTACTCTTCCAATAGAGCATTAATATCTACAATATATAGGAAAAAATTTTTAAACACCACCAAAAAAAAAAATCAAATAGCCCAGTCAATAAATGGTCAAATGACCTGAAGAGACACTTCTCAAAAGAAGTACAAATGGCCAATAAGTGTATGAGAAAATGTTCACCATCCTTAGCCATTCAGGGGATGCAAATAAAAACCACTGAGATGCCATCTCACCCCAGTCAGAAGGCTATCATCAAGAATACAAAAAATAAAGGCTGGAAAGGATACAGAGAAAAAGAAAAACTTCTACACCGCTAGTGAGAATGTTAATGGAAATCAGTATGGAAGTTCTCAAAAAAACTAAAAATAGAGCTACCATCTCATTCAGCTATCCCACTCTTTCATATATACCCCCCAAAATTAAAGTCAGCATACTACAGAGATACCTGCATACCCATGCTTATTGCAGCACAATTCACACTAGCCAAGATATAGACCCAGCCTATGTGTCCATCAACAGATGAATGGATAAAGAAAATGTGGTATATATTCACAATGGAGATTCAGCCTTGAAGAACAAAATTTTCTCTTTTGTAGGAAAATGAGTGGATCTGGAGATCATCAAATGAAGCCAGACTTAGACAAATATCACATTCTCCCTAATAGGTAGACATTATTATATGGTACATTAGATAATCTAGGTAAACAAATTGGGAAATTGTTGTTTGTGTTTTTAAGACGGCCACTAGGGTAATTTCATTAGAAGGGAACAAATATACATTGTTTTATAGTCAAACATGACTTTGAACAATCCATTCACTCACAACCAAAGCTGTGATAGTAAGTTCGAGAATACATATTGCCAGGAACACATAAAGGCATGATCTAATGGAATAATAATTAGAAAATTAAGAAAACATTAAGATTTCTGTTTCTGCGAAGTTAATTACCTCCATTCCCTACTTCTCCTTCTAGAATTTCTGAAACCAAAGAAATTCCTTTATTTGGAATTTTGTGGTAAAATTCAATAAAAATGATCACTATGGTATTTTATGAAAAATTTTAAAGAAGTAGATGTACAGGAAGAAGACAAAGATCCTTACTGTGGACTTAACCAATATCAAGGGCTAGAAGACAAGATAAAGCCAGCACAATTTATAAGTAATAATTCTGGCTTAGAATATAAGTTTCATTTATGAAGACTCAGGTCTTATGCATAATTATAGACAAATATACTAACAATCTTTTGAAACTCCATGGAAATAAAACAGCCATCAATATTTCACAGTCGTAAATTTTTAGCAACTTTTTAAACAAGCTGTCTGGGTAATTACCAAGCTATCTGAGATTTACTGTGAATTTTGTACCTTTCTAGTTCACTGACAGATGACTATTTGTTATTAAACAAATAGTAACATATTAAAATACTTGTTTTATATAGAGAAATATATGTTTATATTAAGAATACACAAGTTTGTAACCCAGAAATACATTGTAAAAAGTGACATAGAAATCTGAATTAGCAGCAAGGCCAAGAAAAATGGAAGTGGTTTCTTTTTCTCTCAGAGTCTACAATAAATAAAAAGTTACTTCATGCCTGGAAAAAAAACTACTCTGAAGTTATACTCCAGTGGGTTACAAACATTAAAGCCATAGTGATGATTTTGGAGGGTTATACATCACGTAATGCACAAGGACTACAAACTTCAAGAGTGTGCAAACTCATTTCAAGGTATCACATGGTTTCTACTCTAAGTGCAGAAAGTGAAAAGAGCTCTGGGAAAAAAAGAGGTGTAGAATATAGAGGCAAGTCTCCATGTGCAGGTACACTACATGGAAATGTATGGATGTGTCAAGATCCTAGACCTGTGAACCTCTGGCAAAACAAGGACAATATGCTCTGCGTGGTGGGAAGATGGAGGGGACTACGTGGAAAGAATGTGATGACCTCCAGGAGTTGAGACTGGCCAGAAGCTGACAGCCAGCAAAGCGCAAGGGCCCTCTGTGCTCCAACCACAAGCAAATAGACACTGCCACACCTACATGGGCTTGGGGAGGACCATCCAGAAGAGAATGTGGTGCCAGTTGTCTGGCCCAAAGAATTATACAGAAACAGACAAGTTTTGGGGCTGTGAACTGCCATATCTGTGCTCTGTTGGGCATCAGAGAAAATGACATGGAGCCTCCCAGCCATGCAAAATATTCTGGAAGCATCGCTTTGCCAGAAAGTCAAGAGACTACATGGCTAAGAACAACTTTTGTGAACTCTCAACCCCTTGAACTGTCAACAAATATGAATCAGGTCCACTTCTTCTATTCGGCCCATAAACAGCTACCAACTAAATGCTGCCAAAGCTTTACTCACTTGGTTAATTCTTCGTTGGTGCTTGCAACAAATCCCGCAATTGACTTCTGTCGATTTACAATATCATGGAAACAATCAATACCAATGAACATTGTTTTCTGTAACTTCATTTTAAAAGAAAAAGATAGCGAATTGAGTTCGAACAGAATATAAGCAAAACTTAATCATTAGATTAAACACACGGACTATTAAATTTTACTCCATGTAAATTAAGAGAATGTAATGAAATCCACATACACCTGTCTCCACCTTCCAGAGGGCTCCTCCCATCTTGCAGTTCATCTGCTGGGCAATCTTCGTAGTAATGGTCAGCAATGTATTGCCAGACATTAAGGTCTCTGCTACCACACACTGGCTTGGGACCGGACAATGGATACACAGGAATTTTTTTATCTCATCATATCTGTGTTTCTCGCTATCAGGCAGTATACAAACCACCTTGAAAGCAAGCAAATGTGAAACTCTTAAAACCATCTCGAGATACAGCACCAACAAACTAAAGTCCATTAAGATAATACTGGAGTCTAAGGGGGTGAAGGGTCTCGAGTCACATGACATTAAAAGGTGGGGTGTGGAGGAGAAAAATGCTATAAGACAGTCACTTCAGCAATGTGCACCAATTGTTTCAACTTGCAAAATACTCTGTCCTAAGTACTCCACTTAAGGAACTTACTCCTTGATGAGGATGTGTGACAGACGAACAGAAGGGTACAGGATCAGGCTGATCATTCTGTGTACGGTACTTGTTAAGTACTTTACTTCACTCAGTTAATTCTTTTAAGGATCCACTGATATACCTACTGTTATCCCCATTTTACTGATAAGAGAACGAGCTTGAGAGTCATGGAAACCACCTGATCTACAAGGCTTCATCAAAGATTGGGTAGGGCTTCCAGCAAGACACCAAGAAGTTAGAAGACTGGTTCCTGACTTCAATGGGCATCTCAGCAATATGCTATTAACATGATGCCTGTAAGAAATTTTTGGTAGACATCCTTTATCAGATTAAAGAACTTCTCATACTATAGTTTTCCTTCTTTCACTAGAAAGGATATGAAATTTCAAATGCATATATCTGCATTTATTAAGAACTGTTTTCTCATATTTTGTCATATTAGTTATTTGTATTTTTCTGTAAGTTACTTGTTTCAATTTTTCAATTTACTGACACACAGTAACTTGTGGTGTTCTTTTAACACTTCTTTCATCTCCAGTGACTCCATAGTAATGAACTCTACTTGTTCCTAATGTTTAGCTTTAGTCTTTTATTTCTTCAGTCTTGAGGATATAACATTTTAATATTTTCAAAGAACCAGCTTTAAACTTGTCAATTTTTTCCATATTGTTTTTGCTTTTGCTTTGTTCCTTTTATTTTTTGCATTCTTCTTTACTTTGGTTTTCTCTTTCTGAGTGTTTTAAAATTCAAGGAGAATGTATTTATGAGAGTTGTAAGTCCATTATCTGTTTGCTGCATCATACAAGTTTTGATGCATAGTACTTTCATGACCTCTCAGTTCTGAGAATTTTTTCTTTTTCTTCTTCTTATTATTCTAACATAGTTGTTGCTTAGGGACCACCTAAAGTTTCAGCTTCTGGGATAACATGGTCTCGTCTCCTGAGAAGACACAGTCAAGCTGGATGAGAGCACAGAAATATTCCTGCTTAAGACTCAATGGGTTGCTGAGTGTAGTGGCTCATACCTGTAATCCCAGCACTCAGGAGGCTGAGGCAGGGGAATTACCACGAGTTCAAAGCCAGCCTGGGCTACATAGTGACTTGAAGGCCAGCCTGAACTACAGAGTGAGAACCTGTCTCAAAAAAAAAAAAAGACTCAATGGGTCTAAGGAGGCAATCACAGGGCTTATGACAAGAGAAAACCGGGGACACAGAGCTGATGCCAGCAACTGAGGCTGGTTTTTTTGTGTGTGGTATCTATTCATCCCAATAAATGTGGCTGGGAGGATTTAGACAGAATGACAGCCTCATAGATGAAACTCAGCTATATTACAGAGGTATATGTGCATTTACTGCAAGTTTATAAACCAAAGGCAGCATCACAAATTTTAAAATATATAAAAATGGATTTTTAGAACAATCACTATTGAATGCACATATAATAAGTAGACACTTACCATGTTTGTATGTGATGTGACACATTTCCGTAATGTGGATATATAGGAGCTCGGGTCCTCATTTACTTCATACCTGAAAAATAAGTATATCCTCTATAGTCAAGAGGGAATGAACAAAGAACACAAAAAACTTTTCACACAATGAATGAAATATAAAAATGTGACATTATAAAATGCCAAGATAAGCATTTCAGCTAAAAGTTTATTTTCAAAAAACAGAAACAGACTTAGGTTTGTGTTCCCCTTGTAAGGGGCCTGAAGTCACTACTCAGTCATAACATCAAGTAAAAAGTTCAACAGACTTACTGACAAAAAAATGAACAATTCTCCTAGTATCCCTAACAGTGGTAAGGACGCAGGGCAAACTGTTGCCCCCAAGATTGGAGAAACAGGTGAACACAGGGAGTCATAGCTCACCTGAGCAGAGACTCATCAGAGGAAAGCTCCCAGGGAAATAGCACCAGTATCAAACCAAGCAACCTAAACTGGAACTGACACCCTGGAGACGCCACAGGGGCAACTGTGAGAACTGAAAACTCCAGGTGCCTGCAGTCCCAGGGACGCCCCCACAGTTTTGATTTACCTGTAGGACAGAGGCCAAGGCCACCCAGCAAGAAGCAAGCAGTGGGCCAGCAAGTGAACCTTCATCTGTAGTATAACCACTTCCCATCACTTGCATTACTGCCAGAGCACCACCTCCTGTCAGATCAGCTGTGGCCTTAGACTCTCAGGAATATGAAGCCTCATGTGAACTGCACATGCAAGGGATTTAGGTTGCATGATCCTTATGAGAATCTAATGCCTGATGACATGAGCTGGAGCTGAGGTAGTGATGCTAGTACTGGGGAGAGGCTACAAATACAGATAAAAATGAGTGGAGAAGGGTGACTCCAGAGAGCATAATAAGTAAATTGCTTGCAGACTCATACCAAAACCCTATCAGTGAGTGGCAAGTGACAAACTGTACCTGGTGGCAGGCTGTATAGCAGCAAGTGAGTTGATATATTTCAACTGTACAGCTAGTAGTCTCAAAGTCAGAATCCAATGCTTATTTTAGTCTGCGCATGGTCCACTCATTATTTTATTTACCACTTCCAACTGCGCCTCTTTCTCCCACTGTGCACTGTCTCAGTTACAGTTTTGCTAAGCCCACATGCTAACCCTAGCCAAAAAGAGTAAAAAGCAAATATCTCTGAAGAGCTTCTTTGAAAAAGGAGAAAGATCCAGTGATGAGATAGCAGAGGACTCTAACATTGCCAACAAAAAGAAAGTGGCATTTAAAGCCTGGTGTGGTGGTGCATGCCTGTAAGCCCAGCACTCAGGAGGCTGAGGCAGGAGGATTGCTATGAGTTCAAGGCCGGTCTAGGCTACACAGTGTGTTCAAGGCCAGCCTGAACTACATAGTGAAATCCTGTCTCAAAAAAAGAGAGAAAGGAAGGGAGAAAGACAGGGAAAGAGAGAGGGAGGGAGGAGGGGAGGGAGGGAGGGAGGAGGGGAGGGAGGGAGGGAGGGAGAGGGGCATTTTAAAGAAAATACCATGAGCCTATGTAAATTACAGGTTCATTGCAACAGGGGATACACATTCTCCAAGCCTGCTTTGTATAATGTGGTGACCAGCTACCCAACAGACCCATAAAACTTTCAAAACTGCTTTGCCACATGGAGACCAAGCACCTTGCATTAAAAGACAAGCATTTAGAGCTGTGCAAAAGAAAAACAATGTGAACACAAAAAAGCCAGAAGCAATTATTGAAGCTCACTACTTCATCAAATGTGTCTGCACTGAGAACATTATTCTTAGTGGCTGTGTTACTAAGTTAAACCCTTTACTAAGAAAGATCATTGGCCAGGGTTTCTGAGTTATGAGAACTGTTCCAGAAATTTCTTTTAGGAAAACAATGACCGGCAGCACATTTCAGTGACTCAGAATGAGTCCCAAACTTGTTTACTCGTGTGACATTCAACCTGCTCAGCAAAGTCACAATGCCTGTGTTCAAGTTGACAAAATGGATGCATTCAAAATCACCTTGGAATTATGGGGATGATTACTGAACACTGGAATTTTTTACATGTTTCTGACATTGCCAGAGATTTTGAAAGAGAGTGAGCCAGGACCTTATTTCTCCCAGATGGTGCAGGATCACCTATCTCAGCTTTCAAAACAGTTTGAGCATTACTTCCCAACTACAAAAGACCCCCAAACTAAAAAGGAATGGATCCAAGGCCCATTTGTGAATAACTGAGGTGAACTGACTTTGTCTGTGCTAGAAGAGGATCAACTGCTAGAGATCAAAAATGATGGTGGACTCAAAAGTATGTTAGAAGCAGACATGATGAAGCACTTCGATAATTCCAGCACTTGGGAGGCTGAGGCAGGAAGACTGACATGAGTTTGAGGCCAGCCTGAAACTACATAGTGAGACTCAGTCTCTAACAAAAAATATGCTTGAGACCACTTCAAATCTTCATAAATTCTGGATTAAAGTCAAGGTAGAATAACCTAAGATTGCCACAAAAGCACTAAAAATCCATCTTCCATTTCCAATATCCTACCTATATGAAGCAAAGTTTTCTGCAGGGACAGCAACCAAAATGAGATTACAGAGGAGACTTGACATAAACAACACATTATCTCCCATCACCCTCAGATGGGACCATCTAGTTGCAGAAAAACAACCTCAGGGCTCCCATTGATCCTACAGTATGGTGAGTGGTATAATTATTTCATTATATATTACAATGTAATAATAATGTGTGCAATAAACACAATGCACTTGAATCATCCCAAAACCACCCTCCCCTCAGTCAGTGGAAAATTTCTTCCACAAAACTGGTCCCTGGTATAAAGAAGACTGGGGACTACTGCTCTAGGAAATCAACCAGGTCTTCACAGAAAATATCAGAAAAATTCCCTAGTGTCTCCAACCAAGGGAAGGAAACATTCCCTTCTGAAATATTCTCAGAGCATTCTTTTCTTCCCAACAAAGCCTGCCATTAGGAGAAAGTAGTTAACTAGAGCCTAACCCACACGAGGACAGGGAAATACAAACTCTGCTCAGTTCCAGCCTTCTACATGGCAGAAGAGAAATACCCAAATAGTAGTCTGGTCATCTTGTCCCACATAAGCAAGGAGAAAAAAATTGAAAACATTTATGAAGTTCATAGTCCAGAGACACAATCTCATTAAGAAAATGAAAAATATAGGACTACAATTCCGTACATCTTACCACCACATGACTAAAGGCCTATTTATAGCACATTATTTTTTCAACTGGTACATCACATCTGGCCATCAGGAAAATTATAAAGCATACCAAAAGGTAAAAACATACACAATCTGAAGACACAGAAAACATCACAACCAGATAATGGAAGCCTGTTGGAATTCTCACAAATTTAGTGTAAGTATGACTCATAAGAATAGGGATTATTAAAAGAAAAATTTTAAACAATTTTTTAAAAAGCAAAGGTGTCACCTCTCCTTACTACTCCTTTTGAAAATTTTTTTTTTTTTTTTTTTTTTTTTTGCTACTGGGGATCGAACTCTGGTCCTTGCACTTGCCCAGCAGGCGGCGAAACCACTGAGCTAAATCCCCAGCCCATCCTTTTGAACTGAAAGTTCTCATTAATGCAATACACAAGAAAGTCAAAAGGTAGATTAGTAAAAAAAGAAACTGTTTGTAAACATGTCTATGAAGACAATCTGAAGGAATCAACAAACTCCTGGAACTAATAAAGGATTATAGCAAGGTAATAGGATACAAGGTTAATATACAAAAGCCAATTGATTTTCTTTTCTTTTTTTTTTTTGGTACCGGGGATCAAACTCAGGACCTTTTGCTTGTGAGGCAGGCGCATGCCACTGAGCTAAATCCCTGGCCCCCAATTGATTTTCTTTATACCAGCAATTAACAAAAGTATAATTTGAAAAGAATTTAAAATTTAAAATACCATATCATTTATATTAGCACTCCTTCCCAAAATTAAATACTTAGAAATAAATCTAACAAAATATACATAAGATCTAAGTGAGGGAAACTATAAATTCTGTGGAAATAAATTTTAAAGGAGCTAAATAAATGGATAGATATTCCATGTTCATGGACAAAAAGACAGTACTGTCAAGATGTCAGTTCTCCTGAACTTAATCTACAGATGTAATACAACTCAAACAAAATTACAGCAAATTACTTTGTGAATACTGGAAAAATGATTCTGAAAGACTGAAAGGAGGAGCAAAAGGCCCATAACAACCAGCATAATCCTGAAGGAAAACAAAGTTGGAAGACGGAAGTATCCAATGTCACGAGTTGCTAGAGAACTAGTCAGTGTGGTATTGGTAAAAGCATAAACAAATTGATCAATGGAAAAGAATATATAGCTAAAAACAGAGTCATGTAAATATAGTCAAGGAACAAAGTAATACAATGGAGTAAAAAATAATCTTTCTAAAAAATGATCCTGGTATACCTGGACACCCCTATGTAAAAAAATAAATAAAAATTCTAGACAGACCTTAAACCCTTTACAAAAATTAACTCAAAATAGATCCTAGGCCTAAATGTAACACAAAAATATAACATTTCTAGAGTTTTATAGGAGAAAACCTCCATGACTGTTATAACAATAACTTTTGATATAAAATCAAAGCTATGAAAATACAGCAGCAGAACTACATTATAATTAAATTATTCTGCTCTGTAAATGACACTGCCACAAAAATGAGAAGACAAGCCATAGACTATAAAATATTTGCAAAAAGTCACATCAGATAAAGGACTGTTATCCAAAACATACAAAGAACTCTTAAACCTGGCATAGTGGCGCGTGCATATAATCCCAGCACTGGGATGGCTGAGGCAGGAGGATCACTGCAAGTTTGAGGCCAGCCTGAACTACACAGCAAGACCCTGAGTCAAAACAAAAATAAAAGAACTCGTAAAATTCAACAATAAGAAAATGAACAACCTGATTTTTGCGTGTGTGTTTTTGAGAAACACCTCATCAAGGAAGATACACAGATAAACAAGTGAGTATATGAAAAGAACTTCCACATCATATGTCATCAGAGAATTGTAAAACAAGATACCGCCCCCACACACCTATCAGAAAGAGCAACAGCCTGCATCCGGCGAGGACGTGGGGCCACAGGAACTCTCACTCGCTGCTGTTGAGAATGTAAATGACACAACCACTTTGGGAGAAGTTTAGTGCTTTGCTTCAAAACTAAACATACTTTGACCATGCGATCCAGCAATTGTGTTCCTTGGTATTTACTCAAAGGTATTGAAAACTTATATCCACAAAAGAAATCTGCACAGGGATGTTACGGTAGCTTTATTCAAAACCATGAAAACTGAGAAGCAACCAAGATGCCCTTCAGTGGGTGAATGAATAAACTGCAGTACATCTAGACATGGAATATCATTCAGCATTAAATGCTACCACTGGGCACTGTGTAATCCTGTTACACCTGTAATCCCAGTTACTCAGGAGGCTGAGGCAGGAGGGTTGCAAGTTCAAAGCCAGCCTGAGTAACTTAGTGGTAGAATTCTTGCCTAGCACACATGAAGCAGCCCTGGGTTCTATCTGCAGTACAGAAAAGTGAATGAAAAAGGAGGAGAAGGTCAAAGAAGGAGAAGAGGAAGAAAGAGGAGGAGAAAGAGGAAAGAAAGGAAGGGGGAGGAGGAAGAGAAAGGAGAAGGAGAAAGGAAGTAGGAGGAACAGGCTAAATTGAAAAAGAAGAAGAGAAAGGAAGAAGCAGAAAGGAGGAAAAAGAAGGGGTGAAAGGGAGAAGGGACAAGAGGGCGAGGGAGAAGGGGAGGTGAAGAGGGGAGGAGAGAAAAGAGGGAGAAAGAGAATAGAAGGAGGATGAGGGGAAGAAAGAGAAGGGAAAGGGGAGAAGCAGGGAGGAGGAGGAAGAAATGGACTACCAAGACATAAAAAGACATGGAAGAACCTTAAATGCACATTCACTGAAAGAAGCCAATCTGAAAAGGCTGTATACTGCATGCTTCCAAGGACATGACATTTTAGAAAAGGCAATACTATAAAGACAATAAATGTATCCCTTTGGCAGGGGACGTTGATAATGAGAGGCTATGCACACCTGGAAGGCAAGCAGGATATGGGAAATCTATCTTTCTCTTCATTTTGCTGTGAGCCTAAATTTGCTCTAAGAAATACAGTCTCTTTAAAAAAAAATGTTTAATTTTTGGAAACATGATTGGGACCTAGTTATTAATACTCTTCATTCAAGTTGTTAATTCTCATGCCTTTTAAAATATGTATCATAACAGCCACAAATCATAGATCACAAAATCCTATTTTAATATTTGTTCCCTAGGAGAGATTTCATTTACAAAGTTTCAGAGTTTTGATAAAGAAAATGATTCCTGCAAGTTAATGTTTCAATGATTCCACATTCAGATTGCTAACACATCTGATGGTTTCAGTTTCCAAACTGGAAATAATTTCTGCTCTACTTACATATTTGCTTGTCCCACAGTTATGCCCATGGTAGGGGTGACTTTACGTAAACTGCGCAGTAAGGATTGGGCATTGTTACCATGTTCCCTAGGATGAAGTAACACCCAGTGACTTAGTGACTTCACTGTAAGTAAGGGTGTACTTCTTGATTCTCTCATCCAATCTGCTGGCTGTGGCCCGATGCCAAACTGGAAAAGAATCCAAGACATAAAAGCCTTTATTTTTTAAAATCAACATTACTCAAAGTCCTTTCCATTGTATATCTGTGCTATTTCCAACTGACATCTTAAAAATATAATCTTAAATAATGACTGGATTCAACAGTTGAGACAGGATTAGTAAAACAGGAATTCCATCATAAGTGTTAAGAAGTTTTGAGAGTCCATTAGACTGGGACAACTCCATAGCTCTAGCTCCTAAGTAGCCACACCACAGCCCAAGGAAGTAAAATAAAAGTAGGAACTGTATCAACCAGAAACCACCAACCAACTTCTCACTCGGGTCTTCTCACCCTATCCAATTAAATACATTTTGTCTTACTTCCATGAGAACTTGCCCAAGCTGCTGACATGAACCTCTTCTGCTCTGAGTGCTGCCCAATTCGTGAATCTTTCTTTGCTCAAATAAACTGTTGAAACTTACATCATCTACAGTTTTTCTTTTAACATAGGTTCCCATGTTTAACATTATTTGATTCTATTTATTTGACCTTTCGGGATAGACTTGGAAGACTGATCTTCCAAAGGCTGTGAACAAATATCCATAATACTAATTAGAAAAGGATGTAACATGGTTGATTCTATGCCAAGCACTTTATGCACATAATTATTCAATGTCTACCTGTCCTCTCATATATAAAGAATACGTGGTCTAAAAAGAGAACAAGAGTCATGGTTACTAACATGACCAAATTCATTCCTTTTTGCATGACTCTATTTGACCCAACTATGACAACATAACCTTGAATCCATCTTACTGATACGTCACGCTGGAAGATCTTTACATCTCTCAAAATTCTTCCTGAGATGGGCAAACAGTTGGTATCAAACCTCAGACTCCAGCGTTGAAGCTCATTTTGTGCTGTCCGATTTCTGAAAATTAAAATATTTCCAGTATGATCAAACCAATAAGCAAAAGCAGTTAGCCAAGGGCAATTTCTCTTGAACCCAAAGTTCAATATTGTTTGTCCTACAGATAAAATTCCCTGAAACTCTGAAATATTGTCTTTGCTCTCCTGTTCACACAAGTAACTTAGAGCCTGCTTCATTGCCCCCACCACCTCCCTAACATTGCAATGTCAGAAAAACTGAAGTTGCTCCTCTTCTCCAGAGAGAATTCCATTTTCTTTCCAAAAGCCAATTTTTTTTTTTTTTGGTACCAGGGATCAAACTCAGGACCTTGCACTTGTGAGGCAGGTGCCAGAACCACTGAGCTAAATCCCCAGCCCTCCAAAAGCCAATTGTTAATGGAACTTGAAATGTCAAGGGATATACACAGGTCTCAACTTCAGTGCAACCCAACACATGAGCATAAACACAACCATAAAAGCACTTACACTCGTATCTTATTAATGAAGGCTTCCAATTCATTCTTCCTTTCCCATGGATACAACTGCATAAACTTAGTCAATTTACTCATATCTTTACTTTTTTGACGCAGTTCATCCGATAGACCTTTAAAAATCCAAAAAATACAGCTGCACAAGTGAGAATTTATAGTCAAGAAGACTTAACTACCACAGTATCAGAGGTGGGGTGGGGAACAACCAACCAACCAAGGGGATACCATTCTGGTTCAGGGAGATCTCTGTGATAAGCCTGAATGTCTTCATAATTAAATCTGTGGTTTATGGGGAGGGGCTGCCTTCTTTAGAGACCACCTGCATCAACAGTACCTGTCGGGTAGCAGAGCTGAGGAATCAGCAGAACAGGTTCATGTGGTGTATTCTTCTGGCCCTTTCTCCACCTGCCTTGGCTGACCAAGAGTGGCTGGTCTAAGTCAGTGATAATTTGATTATATTGCTGCTCAACAGAAGCAAGAAAATCTGCCATGACCATCAGCAAAACCAGAGTAGCATCACATAAATAGACACAAAATACTCAGTTGGGGAATTACATGGAGGCCCAGACACACGCCGGTGAGAACTTTCCCCCGTAGGTATAAGAATGTATACATATATATACACACACATGCACATACACTTTTTAAATTCTCCTAATGTTGATATCCCAGAGATCATGTCATTGTTTTTCTTATAAGCGTACAGAGCCAAAGGGACTAGGAGTCCCACAAAACATTACACTGAAGTCATTCTGCTACCTTCTTCTACCTTTGTATATACAGATGGGTGAGAGACACTTAAGAGTATGTAGTTCTCACCAGGCTTGCCTTTAGAGGTCCTAAAGCATACTGAAAATTTTTAAGAAAACTCTTACCTCAACGGGACAAGGCAAAGCCTGGCCACTTTTTAAATTTTCCATTACAGATCTATTCCAGTGGTCCTCCTGTATTATTTTCCCTCACTTTCAGTCCCTGTTTCTAGTAGGAAAAGACATTTGCAAAAAAGATAACAAGTTCTCCACACAAAATGCCTGGCAAAGCCACAGAAACTATTCCTTCTACAGAGCAGGAGTTGCCACAACCCTGGGCTGAGATAGGGTCTAGAAGAGAATCTGACAGTGACAAGCTCAAGGAGCTCGGGGAACAAGATTCACCCAAGCAACCACACAACCCAGCTGGCAGAAGCAGCTGAAATCGAAGAAGAGCCAGTAAGTAAAGCAAAACAGAGTTGGAGTAAAAAGAAAGCATGGAAGGCTAAGTCCAAACTAGGTCTTTAGCAGGTTGCAGGGGTTACTAGAGTCACTATCCGGAAATCTAAGAATATTCTCTTTGTCATCACAAAACCAGATGTCTACAAGAACCCAGCTTCAGATACCTACACAGTTTTGAAGGAAGCCAAGACTGAGGATTTATCTCATCAAGCACAGTTAGCAGATGCCAAGAAATTCAAAGTTCAAGGCAAAGCTACCTCAGTCATTCCAGAAAACACACAGACTCCAACTGTACAAGAGGAAAATGAAAAGAAGAGGCGTGGAAGTTGAGGACATAGAATTGGTTATGTCACAAGCAAATGTGTCCAGGGAAAAGGCGGTCTGAGGCCTGAAGAACAACAGTAATGATATTGTACGTGCTATCATGGGACTAACAATGTCATCATCTGAAAGCAGGACTTTTTGTGTTTCAGAAAGGTGACTACAGCTGGGTTTGAAACCTGTCCTGTTTCTATCACTAATAAAGTTATGGTTTATTGGATGAAAAAGAAAGACAAGAGAACTGTGATACAATTCTTGATCAACAAAGTGCCTTCCTCCCAAACAAAAAGCAGTGATCCTTCATAGACTCTTCCATGCTGCTCAGAACAAGGTCCTTGCCTACGATAACTTGTGACATGACTTCTAGCATCACTTGTCCTTCAAACATTAGAGGACATTCAAAGTTCTCACCTCAAACAAGAAACCTTCACAGCCCTATTCTTAAGCTGGGCTACTGCTTTCTATTCTGAAAATACTGATGCAGGTTGTATATTTTTTTCCTTAAAGTGGTCTATAGCTACTTAAAGGCAACTGAGATCTAGTCCTACTTCCCTGTCCTGGAGCCTTCTTGTGGCATGTGATTACTGATACTGCAGCTTGCAACTCCATCAGAGCCTGTCATGTCCCCAAATAACCCCCAAGCCAGCTAGCTTCTCCAGACTCCTCCATCACATAAGTGATGCCACCATCCACCTATTTCCTAACATGAAGCCAAAGGGTTATGTTGTACTCTCCTTTTTCTGTCACCCACAAGATCCAGACCACTATTATCTACCAAACCCCTTTAACAACCTACCCACTAGATTCCCAGCCTCCATTTTTAGCTGCATACTGCCCATTCTCTGTACATTACACAAAAGTCTTTTACAATTATCACTTAATTCATCTACCTCACACCATTTGATGATAGTAAAATCCAGTTTAACCCAGTGAACAAAACCCTATAGAAGATGACCCCCCCCACCCTCCAATATACATACCACTGCTCTGTTCATGCAGTCCCCACTCTGTCCCCGCCACTGTTCTCCAGAGAACATACCAGTTTTGTGTGACACAGGGACACAGCAGGCCCATCCTCAAAACAGTGCTTATATTCTTTTCTCCCTGATCTGCATACAGCTCACTCCTTTCAGATATACCCTTATCAGCCAGCTTCTCAGAGAAGCTTTCCTTGACCACCTAAACACTCAGATAATTTCCATAATGCCTCTTATAGTTATCAGAATAGTTTTCTTATATGCACTCCTCTGCCTACCACAAGAACGCAAGCTCTTTGAGATCAAATAACTCAACTATATTGGAATGCATAGCCAAGATAGAGAGGAGGCACTCACTAAATGCTTTTTAATTGAAGGCACAAGCATTAAGTACGGCACACAGAGGAGGAGGGGGTGATAGCTGCACCATCCCCTTGGACATACGTGGCAGAGATGTGCACTGTCAATAGCTCCAAGTCCCTACATTTTGAGTTCCTATATAAAAACAGAAGTTGCTATATCATCTATTTGTAAATGGTTGTTTTTAGTTGCTCCAAGTATCTGGCATTCTTTTAATAACCTTTCTTTCATCTCTCAAAACTAAAAAATCAATTAGCAACTGGTGCATCTTTATTTACTGATCTATGCTTACTTATTTCTTTATGAATACTCAAATTTAATACTAAAGAAGCCATGAATTATATACAACCTTTCGCACATAACTGAGATCATTTCAGATGGTAAGTGGTAATTTTTATTCTTTTTGAACCAAGTTCCATAGAGCCAAGATTTCCAGATAAGTAACGTTTTCATATATGAAGTCTTAGTGTGTTTTATTTTTACCTAATAATCCATCTACATGTTTAAAACTACTATAGCCACTTCCAAGACTGGACAAAGGGGACACTCTAGAACCATTATACCTATGTTACACTCACCCTATACACAAAGCAATCAAATACATGAGTAACAGATAGAATTTAAGCCATAGTTCCTAAAGGAAAATAGTAATATTTATATATCTGAGGCATCTAAATAAGGCATAAGAAGTTAATTTAAATACAAAAAATTATGAAAATATTTATATTTAAACAAAATTTCATACCTGCATGTAGTACTCTACAAAGGTGATTTCACTGCCATCTGATTTTTTAAATGTATCTCTGGGACTCTGATCCCAATTAATAGCATCCACCCTGTAGGTTTTGTTGTTGTATCTGTGGTATAATCGCAATGTAAAAGATTATTCCCGACTTACTCATTACAAACAACTATGCATATAATAAATTTTAAATTGTATTAGCGTATTAGAATGTTATTTACATACTATACAACTTAACCCATGAAAGTGAATAAGCTCATGGTTTTTTATTATATCCACAGCTGTAACATTCAACACAGTTTTAGGACATTTTCATCTCTCAAGAAAAAAACACCATAACCATAAGTGATCACTCATTTCCACCTACCAGCCCTAATCCAATCACTAATCAAATTTCTGTCTCTATACATTTTCCTAGTCACACATTTCATATAAATTGAATCATACAACATGTGATCTTGCATGGCTGGCTTCTTTGATTTAACACAATATTTTCAAGATTCATTTATGCTGTGGCAAGTGTTGATAATTCCTTTTGTTTCCAAATAATATTCTATTACTGGATATACCACATTTTCTTTATCTATTCACCAGTTGATAGACATTAGGGCTGTTCACATTTTATTATGAATCATGTTATGGACATTCATGTGCCAATGTTGGTAGACAGTTTTCATTTCTCTCTTGGATATATCACTGGGAATGGAATATTTACATCAAAATGTCAATCTGTTTTCCAAAGAAACATTACTTTATATTCCAACCGATAGTGTCTGAGGGTTGGTTCTAATTTTCCCACATCCTCATCAACTTGTTAATATCTCTTCATTTTAACCACTTTAATGGATGTGAAGTGGTACCTCATTTTGGTTTTCATTTGCATTTCTCTGTTGGCTAATGATGAGCACTTTTAAGTATTCTTATTGGCCATTAGTATTTCTTTTTGAGAAAAGTCTGGAGAGTGGTTATTTGGATCCTTTGGTCTATTTGGATCCTTTGCTCATTTTTTTAAATTGAAGTTTCTTTTCGTGGGGGTTTTGTTTTGGTACTGGGAATCGAACTCGGGACCTTGCACTTGCGAGGCAGGCACTAGAACCACTGAGCTAAATCCCCAGCCCTGAGTTATCTTTTAATTATTGAGTTGTGCTCTTTTTATATCCTAGATACAAGCTTATTATAAGACATGTGACTTGCAAGTATTTTCTCCTTTTCTGTCAGTTGTCCTTTTGTTCTAAGCTACATCAAAGTAAAAGTTTAAATTTGGTAAAATCAAATCCACTTATATTTTTTTCTTTTGTCATCACCTATGCTTTTTGTGGCTGATTTAAGATTTTATTTTATATAACACAAAATCAGAAAGATTTACTCATATATTTACTAAGAAAGTTGTGCCAGATGTGGTGGTGTGCACATGCAATCCCAGCACTTGGGAGGCCGAGGCTGGAGGATGGCTGCAAGCCCAAGGCCAGGCCAAGCTACAAGCTACATAGCGAGACCCTGCCTCAAAACAACAGAAAAAAAGAAAAGGAAAAGGAAAGAGAAACTTGTATCTTTGGCTCTTACGTGTAAGTCTATTTTAAGTTAGTTCTTGAGTTAAATCTAGGAGAATTTTGTGTACTCTGTCAAGAAAGGGCAGGTGGATATCCACTTATTCTGGTAACATTACTGAAGACTATTCTCCCTCCTACTGAGTTGTCTTGACACCCCTGCCAAAATATCAAGTAGAGATCAAACATAGCTGATGAGAGAAGGCAGAGCATTTGCGATACTGAGAAGAGTCACCAATTTTTTGTGTGTTTTTACAGGCACTTTGAAATGGAGAAGGTAATCACACCCAGAAAAGGATCAATCAATCTGAAAGACATCCTTCTAGATCAAACCAAATTCAAGGTTGTTGTAAAGGGGAAGTGGCATTGCTGCTAGACTGCACTTCTGCCCTACCCTGCACCCTCTGGGGATCATGCCATTCTGGGAACGGTCTAACAGCCTGAGGGAAGGAGCCAGGCTACAGAGGCCTATCCTGGGATAGGCCCTTCCCATACCCTCCTCCTTCCCATCTGGAAGAAGAACCAGGTAGTAATAAACTGTGGTTGGGCCCCCAGGGAAACCACAGGCAGCAATGAGAAAAAGGGAAAGGGGTGGTCCCTCCCACCATCCTCCCAGTCAGGGAACAGGGAACTTTGCTGCATCCAAGCAGTATCCTAGCCACTGCCCACCACTGGCAAGTGAAGCCCCTATACTCTAGGCAGAGACTAAGCACCATACACAGGGACCCATGGATCGCATCCTGGAGACACAGGGGAGGGAGAGAGACAGAACAGTCAATTCAGAATAGGTGCTTCCCTGTTGTTTCTATGAAGACCGGAAAGAGATGAGTCAGCGGGAAATCCTAAACACTGTCCACTGTCATACACAGTGGAAAAGAGTCCCTAAACCAAGCTCAGGGACCACAGCAGGTCCCACAGCCTGGAAAAGGGTGCTCTTGAGATAAGCATGGCTTGGGATCTGAGCACAAAGGAAAAGAGGGGGCAGAGAACTTCTGGTGACATACTAGGTGGAAAGCCCCTATAGCAGTGATGGCGAACCTTTTAGAGACAGAGTGCTCAAACTGTAATCCAAAACCCACCTACTTATCACAAAGTGCCAACACTGCAATTAAACCTGAAAAACAAGATTTTAGTTTAGATAAAACAACTCACACATTAACATCTTTTGTCTTAAAAGAAAAACACAAGAACAGGGCCAGGGATTTAGCTCAGTGGTGCTGCCACCTGCCTTGTAAGGTCCCGAATTCAATCCCAGTACCAAAAAAAGAAAAGAAAAACACAAGAACACAGGTGCCATAGGTTCGCCACCACTTGCCACCACTACCCTAGAGGGACCACCCAGGGAATCTGCCAGCAGCAAAGGGAGCAGGAGTGATAATGACATGGCCGAAGGTGAAAGAGAGCTCCATGTTACACAAAATAATTTCACATCCTTCTCTTCCCAAATTCATTGAGGTGGCTGGACCTTGGGCCAAAGACAAAAGACTGCAGTTAACCAAGACCAAAGCACAGCTTGCAGCGAGAGGTGGGCTCAAAGAAACTGTCACCCCTCACCACTGCAGTTAAACAGCCTGCAGGCAGGGGAAATGGCACTGCGGATGAAGCAGGAAAAGTGTGCAGACACTGGCTATACTGTACAGCAGCCCCATGGGGACTGTGTGCATGTTTTCTTACTGGAGTGTTTGTGCTAGGTTCTCAGCTTGTTCTCTCTTCTTTCCCGATTTGTTTTCTTCAATTCTTGCTTCTGTGTCAGTATTTTTTACTTGTTTTTTCTTTTTAAATGTTTCTGCTCAAGTTTTTTTCCCCCTTTGTTCTGCTCTCCTTTAATCTTTTTTCTCCCTATTCTATTCTCTTCACTCTTTCTTGTTTTACCTATATCCCTGTTCTCATTCACCTCTTCTCTGAGTTTCATGTGACATATGTTTAGCAGGCACGTATAATTGTAAAAAAAAAAGAGTAAGAACAGAGCAGCGCTTTAACCTGAATGGTACCATTCATGGCTAGGTTGGGGTAGCCCAACAGAAACAAAATTAACCACCAATAAATACACAGGTTCCAACAACCTCCCAGATTCCCTCAAGCCCTAATTACCCCTTCCTCCATTTGCATCCCTTCCACCAACACCCACAAATATTCTAGGACCACTCAACACTAACCCTTTACTCCAACCCTAAAAGACCTCCAACAGTCTGACCCCTATCTTTTTTTAACCTATTAACACTTCTCCTATCTGCCTGTCCCTCTGACTTACCCCTCTTTTTTCCCTTCCTCCTCCTCTTCCCTTCCCTTCCCTTCTCCCGCCCTATCACAGACTGTTAATAACAGTATATTACAGACTGCAAGGGGCACTGATAAAGGATGAAAGTGTAAAATCAGATTCCAACACATATGACTGATGTATGGTCAGACTTGCTGGTGTTGTTATAACCAATAAAAATGCTCTCCAAACTACACAGTGACAGGGTCCAACCCAATTAAATCAAATCTGTTGAGGGGCTAAACAATATCTATGGACAAAAAAAGCCAAGAACACATCACTGGAAAACAGAACCTCATATCAACAACAAACTCTTCACTCTATTTGACCTCAACCCTCAACACCTAAATAAAATAAACAAACAAACAAACAAAGCAACAATGTGTCCCCAAACCTCCCAACTCTTCCAAAGTAGATCCAAGGGGCACCAAGCAGAGGAAATCAAATACTAGATAGCCAAGCTACATGAAATGATTAAAGAGAAGTAAAGAAACTCACTGAGTTCAAAGAGCATATAACCCAAAAGATATTAGAAATAATATACAAACTGACCAATGTGGATAGGAGAGAAAAAAATTGGAAGAGTTGACTAAAACAGTTCAAAATGTGAGAAGCAGAGAAATACCACAAATATATTTCTACCAAATAGAAATCCCAGAGATAAAGAATTCTATAGAACTCATAAACAACATAAATGATCAATGTAAAGACAGCATTTCAGAAAGTGAAGACAAAATTGGAAATTCATTATTTACTCAGATAAGCCTTAAAAATAATAGAACAAGAAAAATTCATCCAACAGCTATTAGATGACACTAAAAAGACTAACCTAAGGCTAACTGGAGTCAGAAATTTAAAAAGAGCACACATGGAACAAAAAAATCTGTTTACAGCTGGGCATGGTGGCACAGGCCTGTAATCCAAGCACTAGGGAAACTGAGGCAGGAGGATTGCTGCCAGTTTAAGGCCAGCCTGGACTGCACAGTGAATTCAAGCCCAGCCTGAACTACATAGAAAGACTCTGTCTCAAAACAAACAAACAAACAAACAAACAAAAAAACTCTCCATGACACATCATTGTCAAAATTCCAGATGTCTCAGCAGTTCCATGCCTGCCTGGTGAGCTGGTCAGAGCACCCGGAAGGAAGCTCCCCCACCTCCATCCCAGGCTCCTAGGGCAGTGAAGCTCAGCCGGTCCCAGCACCCAGAAGGAAGCTCCCCCGCTGCCATCCCAGGCTCCTAGGGCCAAGAAGATGAACTGGTCCCAGCACCCAGAAGGAAGCTCCCCTGCTGCCATCCCAAGATCCCAGGGCACAGAAGTTGAGCCGCGTGGGTGCCAGAAGCACACCTCCCCCCCGCCCCGCGGAAATAAGAAGACACATAAACAAGCCTCAAAAACAGACTTCCAGATCACCTACAGCAACCCCAAAGGGAAATGAGATGGAACA